TTGGAACCAGCGTTAAACATCGGATCATACGGAACCAACGCTAAACATTGGACCCAGCGTTAAACATCGGATCATACAGAACCAACACTAAACATTGGAAAGATATACAATCATACGGAACCAGCGTTAAACATCGGATCATACAGAACCAATGCTAAACATTGGAACCAGCGTTAAACATCGGATCATACAGAACCAATGCTAAACATTGGAACCAGCGTTAAACATCGGATCATACGGAACCAACGCTAAACATTGGACCCAGCATTAAACATCGGATCATACAGAACCAACACTAAACATTGGAAACATATAAAATCATACGGAACCAGCGTTAAACATCGGATCATACAGAACCAACGCTAAACATTGGAACCAGCGTTAAACATCGGATCATACGGAACCAACGCTAAACATTGGACCCAGCGTTAAACATCGGATCATACGGAACCAACGCTAAACATCTTTCTATGAGATGTCGATTAATGATCGACATGTCAGAGGCAATCACACAGTTACTTGCCTTATACAACCTTCGATTTCTCGAGTCCGTTTTTTGAGAGGAGTATATTAATGAACAGAATAATTGTCTATTACAATGTTTTGTTAGATTAAATAATTATGATTATTTACGTATCCATTTTCAATTCATTTTTATCAAAAAATCTTCGAGTTAACATATTAATGAATAAATTATCGAAGGCAGCTTCGGACATTGGTGGATCAACATAAGCCAAATTTTCTGCGCTGTAAAATAATAGTTAAAAAAAATTTGAGAATAAAAATTTTCAAAAATAATTTTATCAACTTACTATGTAACTGTAGCTCTTTTTAACTTCGTTAGCATATTTTTGTCTTTGGGACTAAGTGTAGTCTCGTATTTGGCTTCTATTTTTTCGGAGGAGATGCCATCAATTTCTGCGATAATTTCTTCACTTCTTTTGTTATTATTTATTATCTAAAATAAATAAGAATGAGTAGTATAAACATAATAGAATATTAATTGTTATCAACATAACAGGATATTAATTACCAATTCAATTTCTTTAAAAAACCAATAAAACACTTCAGATATTTCTGCTTCAACAAATTTTACTTCGTTCTCAAAACTATTCACCATCTCATTCCATTCGTCAGAAGAAAAAAGCCGTTTTGTTTCTGATGAGATCCTGTTAAATCAAGGATGCCCCAGTAAACAGGGCTATAAAACAAAACAAATTAATAAATCGTTATATGCTTTTAAATACAGCTACTAGTATAAAAAAAAAAAAAAAAAAAAAAAAAAAAAAAAAAAAAAAAACTAATTCGATACACTTCTGTGCTTTCGGAATTTTGTCTCTATACGCGGCCAAAGTTTCACCAACATCGGTACCATTGGATAATAACCATTGTTTATTCCGGAGCATGGTTTCTGGCTCGTCCTTTTCCTGAAATCCAGCATTTTCATATTGAGAAAATGCTTCATAATTGGCAAAAAATTCGTTTATGGATTCTTCATTATTTGAAGATTCTCCATTATCTTCAATATATTCCGTATCATTGCTGTTTTCATCTGTGTCTTTGTATACCTCTTTATTACTGTCCGAAGTATTTCTATGTGATTGCTTTGCTTTTTCTGTCCAGAAGCTCGTTGCTTCAGGTGTTTTAATTAAATTCTGTAGATAAAATAAAACATTTAAATGTCTATTCATTTGCCTTTATATATTCATTTGCATTTATATGTACCGTAAAATTTTCTTTTTCATGTTTCAGCCTTTCTTTTACTGTTACATTTATTGAGGGCTCCTTGCAGAGTTCTGTAACCTGATTAATGTAAATAGTATGAACAAGCTGCTTATCATCTGCCATTAAGTTTATTTTCACATCGATTTGTTGAAGGCAATTAAAAAACCCAGTGTTTCTAGAAATAGTTTTTCTATTCCAGTAATTTAAAATTAAGCACTCAATGATCCTCTTGCGGTATTGTAAGCTCATTCTTAACATGTTAGCTATTTATTAACACGAACGTGCTATGTAAGTATTGTATTGTTTGAAGCGTATACACCTACACAGTCTTTTATATGTTTTTATCTGCTTGTTGACAAATCAGAAACCTGCTTTATCAACATGTGATCAAAACAGATAGCAAACCGGCTCTAATTATACCGGTATAATAGAAATTGGTAGTATAATACCAGGTATAATACCAAGTATAATACCATATAATACTGTATAATACAATATAACTAACAATATACCCCAATTTATTATAGCTCAGAATCTTATTATACTTGTATTATACCAATGGTATAATACGGTATCAGGTATAGTAAGAACCCTATGGTCCGGTTAGGTATCGATCGATCACATGATTCACGTGAACGAATTTGATGCTATAAACTAACGCCCTTAATAAACTAGTTTTATACTTTGGTTTATTACTCTGGTTTAATAAACTAATTTATAAATTAGTATAATACTCCAGTTTAACAAACTATATATATAGTTTATTATTTTGGTTCACTCCAGTTTATCAAATTTTAATTTCTCCATGTTAGTTTGGAGTCAAACTGGAGTCACTCCGGAGTAATATACTCCATTTAACAACTCTAGATGAAAGCCTAGATCCAATCATCTCCCTTTCGATCGACACCTTAAACCATATAACTCTCACCACAACCCAACAATATTTTTTCCACTTCAGCCGTCACACCAACTTATCAGAAAAAATAATTCTACAAAAAGCTACAAGAGTCATGTTTTTAAATAATAAACTATTTGAACATGAAATTTGCAATGAAACAGTTGGTATCATAACAAAAATAATCAACACAGAAAACATCGAAGTCACATTTCCTACCTCTACTACCCTTACTAAAATTGTCATTCAGAAAGAAACATCCTATTTTATTATAAATGGTAACCCAGGCTCACGACGTCAATTTCCACTCCAGAATGCTTTCGCTTTCACTATACATAAAACACAAGGACTCACATTACCTCACACAACAATAAGTATTGATCAAGGAATATTTGCTCCGGGACAAGCATATGTTGCCATGAGCAGAGCAACTTCCTGGAATACTCTCGATATTCTTTCTTTCGATTTCGATGCTGTAAAAACCGGTCATACAGTCATATCTGAATATGCAAGACTCTCCAAACCAACTACCCCCAACCTATTATTTCGCTATTAATACCATCACACCTACCCTCAACAACTATCAACCATATAATTATCCTTATCCAATAAAACCTCTCATAACAAAAAAAGTTACACACTAGATATCTAAAGAACAAATAGCATATCGTATATCCTATTTCTAACTCCACGTTTTAATTAAGAATATACGTAACAATCACAATTAAATACAAGCTAGGTGCTAGAAAAAAAGGCCGAAAATACCAATTTTTTCAAAAAAATTTTTTACATAAATTAATTTAGAATAAAATTATAATCATTTTTCACTTAAAATACAAGAATAGTTGTATTAATAAAATTTTGCAGTATAGCTTCTTAAGGTTTGTATTTTCTTATTATTTATTATAAGATTTATAATACAAAAAATCGATTTACCAAAGATTTTTTTTCATTTTCGACCCTTTTCTCAGCACCTACCTAATATAAACCCATCTACCCAAAAAACAATTCCTACTATATTTACACGTGCTTAACTCTATATATTATCCTTTCTATTACCTTATTTTCCCACCTCCACCTATCATGCTTATAATAATATACCAATACATATCGAAATAAATCAACACTTAACAAATATTCACCTAATCTACATTATACATCTTTTCTCTACCCCTTCACGTTCAAACTCACAGCTCTATTCAATAGAAACCTTGTTTATTCAATAAAAAATACAAAAAAAACATAAATACCAATTTATTATATAAAAATTTTTAGGAAATTTATATTCATAACACTGTGTTATATAACACCTTTTGCAATATCTCAAAAACGTACTAAGTAAATGGGTGTAG